TTTGCGGTTTGTTGTACCACTGGTGCTGCTGAGCTCCGCAAATTTATACGTGACTCATGCCACATTTTTCCTGTAATGCTAAGCTTAAACAACTGAAAGTGTTTAGGCTTAGCATTATTGTCTTGCACGCTACCTCCATTTAATTTGTGAGCAAGTCTGCCACCTGGTGGTAAAGCTTAGTATGACAGTAACCATGAGTCACAATGCTCGACCCAACATTAGTAATAATGACATTAGCATCTAGATTTGTTGTGACTGGGTTTGCGGCAACAAAACATGACAGGTAAACAAAAGCAAAAAACAAAGGATACGAACACCGACGGCTTCGGCGTCTGTGCTCAAGAGCCTCTTCACCTCCTTTTCCACATCAGGAGACTCGATGTACTGCAGGATAAATCAGATTAGAATTCAGCCCTAAGGAACACGATCTCAAAAACTGCATGCAAGCATTCAGATGCACACATAGTACTGACGGTAGAGGCTGGCTGCATGCCAGAGAACACATTAGCGATTAAAAAAGGAACCCAAGTCAATAGCTAGCTGCAACATAGTGGAGATTTATTCAAGAGTCAGATGGTAGAACCTGCCACTAACTCCCCTGCTGTCACTTCAATCAAATGAACAGCCAGATTGCTTTCCTGCAAACCTTGGTGGCAAATGTAGATGGAATGCTTTATTTATATGTCAATCTTAGCTTTTACCATTAATTCATTTATTTTTCCTGCAAGAGCAAACATTTTTTCTTAACTAGAACTGGTAAAGGATTGCAGAATCATCATCATCATCATCATCAACAAACCAACAACAACACAGCAGAACGTGGAAATGCGAGAGGAAAACCAAATGAGGTTACCTTCTTTTTCGCCGTCTTCCTAAACCGCCTCTTCCTTGTGTTCTTCAGAGGAAGGGTAACTGGAATGAGACAGATGTAATTGGACATTAAATAGTTTGAAACATTCTAGTACTGATAGGCTGTCTTCTCCACATTCACTCCAAACCAAGAGTGGGCGGTACTTACTGCCATGGTTCCAAACAAATTTCTTGTCTTTGTCCTTGTCTTTCTTTTTAGTTTTGGAGTCTGTAGTACCCGTGGGCTCCTCTAGAGGAGGGTAGAGGTCTCCATCCAGCGTGCACACCAGCATCTTAAACAGAAAGTCAGAGGAATTAATTGAGATGTGGCCTTGCAGATGTGCTGAATCTCATTAGGGGACTGCAAAGGGGAAATGTAATGCAAGACACCCTACGAAAGTTATCAACAGAGATCTTACCTGACAGATATCAGCAGTCTTATACAGGGTCTTTTTGTCAACCGTTTTTAATGACTCCAGAATGCAGGGTAAATCCACTAGTTTACATGCTAAAGGGACACGATCCACACGTACAATCCCATGGCGACCATCAGCTAGGAATATATGTGTATATATAACAAATTCCATGAGCAATATTTTTGCAAAAATGAATTGATGAGAGACTGTAATATCAGTTTTAAAAAAGGGGGAAGTAAATAAAGTGTTTCTTTGTTAAATTTCGTCAATAGTGCTCACCATGCAACTCTATAGAAAGTCTGTCTTTTATGTTCATGCTGCTAGACTGGGCGATCCGTCTGACTGTAGAGGCATACTCCTAAAAAACAAAGCATTGTGTCATTGAATCAAAGAATAGTAAAACATTTATTTTTTACTATACAGACTGGCATTATTTAGTTAGATTGACAGTACTGAGGGGTATTCCAGGGGTATTCTTTAAAAGCATAATATATTCATTTGCTATGAACTTTGAGTGTTGTAACTTTGCAGATGTTGTTTATGCTCAAACAGCAACATTACACACTAACTAAACTTAGAATGAATTCATACTCAACCACTCCTTTAACTAAATGGAACTTTATTGTAAGGTGTTACCAATTGTTTGCTACTTGTATATTAATAACATGATGTTACTGAACTTATAGTTCTTGAGTTACTTGAGTTATTATAAATGCATAATTACGACTCATATCAAACAATTATTCAAATGTATTTTTTAAATGGAATTGTTCTGGGAGTGTGTACATTACTCATTAATTTTAAATAATACTGCATTTCTCTAATATAGGTGAGGTAAATGAAGAAACAAGCTGACCTGAGGAAGCCGCAGAACAAACTGACTCTCCAGCTCATGAGGAGCATCTTCTTTGCTTTTGGAGCCTACCTTTCCCACTGAAACAGAGAATGGTCAGGACATAATACTTACTGGCACACTTTCATTAATATAAGAGGATCATTTTTCAAACTGGTTTCTGCGGATCGGCAGGGGGCCACAAGAGAGTGCTAGTGGGTCCGTGGAAAAGTTTAGAGAAAAGCAGTGTACATTTTCTTAACTAAATAAACATATGTGATCCTTCTAAATGATAATAAATTAATAATATATACATTTTAATTTAAATTAAATAAAAAAATACATATAAAAGTAAAGTACTACAGAGAACAGAAAAACACAATGCAACATAATAGACACATTTATAATATTTTTTTTGATAAGTTATATACATGATATATAACTTTTACATTTTAGGATAAGGGTCCCCTGCGTGGGAGTGATCATATATGTGGGGGTCCGTAGCACCTAAAAGATTGACAACCTCTGTTCTACGCTACTTATCATGACAGCACAGTTTTACTTGATCAAAACATAGTAATATCATGATACTTCTGTGTTTGTAGAAGAGATAAATAGAGTGAATTCACGAATGTATGCATGATACCTTTAGTTTTTGAAGTCATCTTTGCCTCCTAATTCTGTACATAAAAGGAAAACAAGACAATGTTTTTAAAATGGCAAGGCGGTGTGTAAATTAATAAAACGTGTGCAGAATACAAGATTTAGAAAAGAAGGTAAAGCCTTTTAAGGAATAACAACATTATCCAAGCGTGACAAATGGTAAAAGTATAGCATAAAATAAGAGGGTGTTCATAAAAAAATACTCACCTAGACCACCGAGAAGCTAACAGGCTAACGCTACATATACCGGCTATATCATATATAATAGCATAAGATAGGACAAATGGTAAATAAAATTCGTTTCGTTAAAAAACCCAGAGCTTAAAATGACTGCAATAGTTAAGTTATCATGAATTATAATAACACGGATTTTGTGAGAGAGAAGCAAAAATGGTACTAATGGATATGACTGTGCCTCGGTGACCTGTGTTTGCGGAAGCAGTATGTTTGCGCTACAGCGTCACCTGCTGTCCGTTGTGTAGAAACAGCTAACATTACACATTGAAAACCCGGATTATACTAGAACATGGCCGCTTGAGTCTATTTACACAATTTCTAGAAAATTTGGTGACCGGGTATTTTTTCTGTGAACTTTTGTAATAAGAGTTCGTATATTTTAAAACAAATAGAAATACTCAGGTAGGTATATGAATGAATACACAAAAAATCCTCGATATGATTACCGTCCCATATGGTCTAGCGGTTAGGATTCCTGGTTTTCACCCAGGCGGCCCGGGTTCGACTCCCGGTATGGGAAGAACTATTTTAGATTTCGTGTAAATTATGAGAATAACTTGGAAGCGTTCAAGTAAAATAATGTTTAATGCATTATAAACTAATTATTTATTTTTTAAAAATGCTGTTACATTATTTCATTACATTTACACGTAGCTTCTGTCACTTTTTAAAAGTGGGTTACTACCACAATATTTTTTACTGCGCTGAAACATTTGTTTGGTTTTAATTTTATTGTTTATTAACAATAACAAGGTAAACCTTACTATCTACAAAGTGTATTCTGTGCAGATAGGGTACCTGTGCATGTATCATCTGTTGTCGTTTAAAGCCCTTTGAAGCTGCACTGAAACTCTTTTAGACCTTGAACCGTTTGGTTCCCAATGAAGTCCATTATATGGAGAAAATCCTTTCATCAAAAACCTTAATTTCTTTCCAACTGAAGAAAGAAAGACGTGGACATCACATCTTGGATGACATGGGGGTAAGTAAATTATCAGCAAACGTTTTATTTTTATTTATTTTGATTTATTTTTTTTAAGTGAACTAGGCTACTCCTTTAATGTTACTCAGTAGGCCTCATACAATTACATTTTGACAATGACACCTTCAAATAAAGTGTAACCTTTTTTTTTTTTTACTAAAATTTAAAGGAAATTCGCTAAAGATTATCTAATAAAACATGTGGAATTATTCTGACTCATTTTGTAAAATCCCAAAGATATCCATGAAGAGAATATTTAAAAGGCAGAGATAATGTAGGTTAATTTATTGTGGTTAAAACATATTAAGTCAGTGCTAGTAAATGGGAAAAGTGTTGTTTGTATCTTTGAAAATGTTGAAAATGAAATGGGCGAATACTACCGATTCCAGGGAAGTGTAACCAGAGGGTTTTTTTTTTTTTTTTTTGGAAGTCTGTCTGAGCACAATATATCAAATTAAGAGTAAATAAGTAAATCCCCTGCCCTGACCACAAACAACACCATTACCCTTGAATTCCCCAAACAGGCTATTCCGATAATGGGCGGGGTAGGCTGTGTCCTTTAGGGGTCATCTGCAATTGTTGACATCACAAATTAACGCGCAGTGTTTTTAAGGGACTATCTCAATTTCTTCTACATAACAAATTAACGCTCAATCACCTGCGGGACAAGATCGCCTAACAACAAAGACAATATATATATATATATATATATTTTTTTTTTTACCATCATTATCACTGTAACCCAAATAATTGTTTAGCTTATATGATAGGTGCAATGTTACTGTGGATTAAATTGTTTAAATGCAAGATGCTGTTATGCTAACTGAAGGAACAACTGGAGATGTCTCTCATTTTTTGTCTATGTCATCCCATGGCCCAATGAAAATGAGCAAAACTGTAAACACTGCTCACACAAACAAATTTTTGATTGGTCGACAAGGTGCCGACGTCACCCATCCTATCTGCAACCCTGAAAGACGCGCCACTTCACTGATTACATGGGAGCGTTTTCGCTTGACGGCGCGCGTCGCTCGCTTGCACTGTAGTTGCGGAACGCTGGACCAATTGCTTTCGAGGGAAAATGTGAGCGCAAGGAATTCCCCACGCATTGAAAACAGTGTAACCTTATGTTAGGGAAAAAGAAAGCGACGAAACTCGCTCAGAGCTTTAAAAAGAATGCGCTTTTAGAAGATTCTGTCTTTGCCAAAGAGGATAAAGCCACTTCTATTTAACAGGACTGCATCTGGGAGAAGGATTCGGATGATGACAGATTGCTCAGGGATTGTTTCACTGAAATGATCGAAGTGTTTCTATCACTTACTCAACCTTGAAACATGTAAATTATGGCACATTAAGATGAAGGTAAGTGTTTGTTAAGTGTGTACCATCTCTCTATGCAATTGCAAAAGCTTTTATTTAAGATATTATAGTTGCCTATGAACTTTTTAAAGTTATTTATCAACGCATTTCAGATGTAGGATGTCTTTTATACGTTCTTCTTATTGTAACAGTGACTGCGCAATGTATTTGAATGTACAAGCATTGTTTATTTCATTCAGGTTTAGGGGAAGCCACTTGGATTTGCTGACATTCTACTAAACCAACATGTCATCATTCTGATCTTATGACCGTTCTGATCTGAATAGCTCGTAGGATAGCTTGACATACTGCTCTGTTGTACCCCTCTCTCATAACTGTGCACTGAGTTGTTCCAGCATGATTACAGACATGTGACCATCGTGACTGGTTCAGTGTGAGTATATCTTGCCTCAGGCTGACATTGCTGGTCAAGACACAGTGAGGGCTTCACATAAGTGTGAACAATCAGATTTCCAGTCCTCGGTGCTTGGTGCATCCCTGTTTTCATCCAGACCATCACTTATTTGTGGATGTTTATATTTAAAACTGGTTTGTCTTTGTGTCATTATCACTACTTGTTGTGACGAGGATCAGAAATTAGCCAAGGCTTAGGGCAAAAATGCCACCAAGTGAATAAAATGCCCTTGATGTGTGGGCAAAAGTGTTGTTTATTCGATATAACCCAGTGATGAGCATATTCCACATATTCCAGAAGACGACCTATTGTCTTGTCACATAGTGAATCATTTACATATGTATTTGATGTTAGGTTAATGTATGTATTTAAAAACCTCAAATCCTTGTGCTTTTTCCAACTTAGCTTCTTACAATATGTAGCAATTCATGTGTACTGTAATTTCATATTGTAACAAGAGTAAGAAATCCATCAGATAGTGCAGAGGAGACTCCATACTCATTTGCCACAAAGTACTCTTTCCCTTCATTTGTTTTTCTTTATTTCTGGCTTGATGTCTCACCCATTGTCTAAATGTTTGCCAGATGTTTACATTTTGGGGGGGATACAAAGCGCCCCTGTGAGACATGCATTTTGAAGAGTCTCTTTGACTGTAGTGTTCTCAGGATTCTGGCCATTGGGTGGTGCTGAGGTCAGGGAGTGCTTGTTTTCTCCTGCTTTGGGAGTGTGTGATATTAGTCAGCTCGGTTGATCCAGAAATGCTATCAGCTGGTTCTGATACCCCCTCCCATTAAAACATCCCCCCTCCCCAGCCCTCACACACCCTAGAGGCCTTTAGATAGCTGGAAATTCCAGTCCTCTGAAACTAATTATCCTCAATGAGAGGCTCTAAATATACCCAAGTTGGTGCTGTCTTGACTCTTTCCTTTTAGAAATACAGTCCCCTTTTATCCTTATGACTTTATGTCTCAGAACTCATGCCCAATGACACTATTGTGCCTTTGAACTGGAGAGCCAGAAGGCACAAAGGGGCTTTTAGATGCTCTTACTGCTTCTTTTAGCAGGTGAGGCACGTGGCTGAGATAACCCAAAATGACAATGAGAGGTTAGGTATGTGGGAAATCTCTATGTAGGGAACATCCGAGCGCTGGAATATGTGGCCGTGACGGCGACTCCCATCTGGCCTTCTTGGAATATGCAGCCAAGTCAAGGAAAGTTAAAAAAGACAGACTTGATCTAACTCGTTCCACTCTGCTCTTGCGTCTGATGGTATATAGAAAGAACATCTCATGAGAAATGACTTAATGGGCTGGCTATTGATTTGTCTCCACATTTGAAGACATCAGTCTTTATAAACTCGGCATCCAGGAACTGCATCACCAGGGCATCATCAGCTGAGAGCTTGCTGCAACATGAGCCGCCTCTTCGCAGACTGACAGACTACACGCATCAGCAAACATATCTGGAGTGTGCTAGGACAATGCATAATATGACATGTCATTTTTCAGCCCATTCTCACTCCCAAGGCGTCACCTAACTGACGCCTTGGGAAGAATTTGGACATGCTTCAATATCTGACGCTTTAGGCGCCCTTTAGCGTCAGTTAGATGACGCCCTAGGATCGCGTGTACCCTACCCCCACCCCACACCTAAACCTAACCGCGTCCTTTAACTGACGCTTTCCTTTAGCGTCAGTTAGATGACGCCGTAGGATCGCGTCATGTAAGTGACGCTAAAGGGCGCCTAAAACGTCAAATATTGAAGCATGGTCAAAGGTGACGCCTTGGGGTGAGAATGCGTTGCATTTTTCTGTGGGAAAAACTTCAAACACACAGCATGTGCAAAAATGTATTGACATTAGGTCTAGGTCAATGACAAGAACAAAACAAATGTTATGTCTCTGTATAGTGGGTGGGGAAATGTAAAGTCCATAGGCTTCCACAAGGTGGTGGTGTTCATATATTGAGCTCAACAACACTATCCAAACCTTTGCAAGAAATAAAAACAGATGTCCAGAATCTAAGGGTAACCCAAGATCAATTGATAGAACTGTCACTTGGCTTTTTGGGCCTGAGAGCTGGCAGCCTGGGACCGAAACAGATTGATTGATTCTGGACATCAGTTTTTATTACTTGCAAAGTTTTGGTTTTCTGTGATGCATTCACCATTGATTCCTCCAAAGATACTGTTATCGAGCTTGTTATAGTTGGCAAGCCACACTTTTTTTTTTTTTTTTTGAAAATGCAAAAAGGATTTTTGACATCAAAATAGTTAGTGAAAATGTGTTGAAAACTATAGTGAGTCGATGAAATTGTGGTGTTACATTATATATCCGTGCAAATTTCCTACTGTCAAGAAAATAAATATTGATGCAAAAAGTTTTTAAACATTTTAAAAAGTATATTTACCCCATAAACCCATTTGTTTAAAAATATAAATATTCATAGCAAGTATAAAAATGCATTGCTTGATTGCTAAAAAAAAAAATCAATTGCACTGAACACAAAATCATTGCCCTGATGACACATTATAGGAAATAAATAGACTCACAAATCATGATTTTCTTAGTCATTAGTTTTCCTGTTTGTAAACTAAGACAGTTCAATGAATACCCCAAGTTGTTGCTTTCCTTCACTCTGTTAATTATTCATGTCTTAGCATTTTTTATCAGAAAATAAATATGGAATAGAGAAGTTAGGGTCTTTTTGTATTGTTTCTTATATAAATTAATGTCGAGAAGTAGTTCTTAGTAACTCAAGAGGATGACATCAAGTCATCTTGGTTTGACACCTGATACATCTCCTACCAAATTAGCATAACTGTAATTTAGAAATAAAACTTTTCCTCTGTTTTCTTTTACATTATATTTATAGAATGATATATAGGTTAAAAGGATAGTTCACCCAAAAATGAAAATTCTGTCAGTATTTACTCACCCTCATGTTGTTCCCCATCCCCATTCATCTTCGGAACGCGAAGCTGGATCACTCATCCATACCAGTCCATAGGCTTCTTGAGGGATTGAAACTTGCTGGCCTCGAAAAATTATTGAAGACATTGTTAAAACAGTCCAAGTGACTACAGTGGCTCAATCCTAAGTTTATCAAACGACGAGAATACTTTTTGTGCGCAAAAGCCCCCCCAAAATAACGACTTTATTTCAACTATTAATTTCCTTCTCTCTCTGGGCCTGGAGTCAGCGTATGATCTGTTGTTGTACGTCACACGCATCACACACATGACCAGCGTCGGCTAATATTGAGCCTACGTGTGACGTAGCTTTAACTGACTATAGGCGCAAAGAGAAGGAATTGAATAGTTGAAATAAAGTCATTATTTATGTATGTTTTTGCACACAAAAAGTATTATTGTTGTTTGATAAACTTAAGATTGAGCCACTGTAGTCACTTGGACTATTTTAACGATGTCTTTAATAACTTTTTGAGGCCGGCAAGTTTCAATCCCTGAAGAGGCATGGACTAGTATGGGGGAGTGATCCAGCTCTCAGATTTCATCAACAATATCTTAATTCGTGTTCCGAAGATGAATGAAGATCTTACGGGGTTGGAACAACATGAGGGTGAGTAAATACTGACAGAATTTTCATTTTTGGGTGAACTATCCCTTTAAAGTCATGCTGCCGTAACCTTGCTGTACAGATGGCAGTAGCCAAATACGTGGGAGTCTCATTAAGCATAGAGATACAAGGACGACTGCCTTAGTTTTGACTAAGGAAAGACAAATATGGAAAGCTTGGGTATATTTTAGCCAGGCACATCTTATTGCTGATGTCGGTAAGAGCTGGATTTGCTCTCCAGTGACAGTTTATTACATTGACTGAATTGTTAATATAGTATTGTAAAATGGCAATTATCTTTAAAAAGTTACCTATTATATACCAATGAAGTTACATTCAGTTGTTTTCAGGTCATAAAATGTACTTACTTTAGTTGACCTCAAATTACATTATAACATTTGTTTTTCATTAAAAGTCAGTGTGTAAAAGAAGTGACGTAGGTCAGATGTTGTGTAAATGTTGAGATTCAGATGGTCCTTTAAAGTGGCAGATGTGACTAATTCTTCCAGCTGATTTACAATTGAGAGTAAAAACTGTCTAATGTGTGAAGGATCACGGCACGTTAAATGGGAGTCTGTTAGTATTGCTCATCATTGGCAGCACCACTTCGTCCAGTAAAAGCTCCTTTCAGTGACTGTCTCGCTAGACAGGGAAAGAATAAAGCAATCAAAGTAAAAACATTTTTTTTAAAATACTGTACCTATTTAATTATTTATTTTGATTATATTCCAAAAGCCAATTTCAGAACAACTGGTTTCTCTTTCATCCCTCAGGCTTGGATTTAAATAATTTAAGTAGATTGAGACATTAGGTATTCTTCTAGCATAATGCTTTCCAGTGTCTGGCCCTCAGAGAGAAAACATACCATTTGACCATTTAAGCTGTAAAACAGAGCCCACAACCATCATTAGCGACTCAGCTTGTGTTTTATTTCACTACAATGTGAGTAAAAGGCACAGGCACTTTCACGGTCTGAGATAAATGACGAGTTAGACTGATAAAGAATTAGCT